ATTGACTAAAGCATTCCAACATTGTAGGTTCCTCATATTAACAGTAAAGCACTTAAACCCAACAACTACATAATCAATACTTGTCATTAAAGCAGTTTTCTCATGTCCGGTTATATTTTGTACATAGCTCACATAATTCATTCATATATTTTTGTTAATCTCTCTATCCATTGATTGCCTGTAAAATGCTGAATGAAGCATTAATTATTTGTTGGTAGCTCAAATACACTGTACAGTGTTACAATTGATTCAGGGGAAAATGCATCAATCTGTTGAGCAGGTAGAAATGCTCAAATAGATGTCAACAGTAAATGCTTGAACAGGAAAATAGACTATAAGCCTGAAGATGCACTAAATATTTACAAAATTATTATCAAACTACCCGTCCTTTGACAGATGGAAATCAATACTATTTATTATAGACGAAGAACAGATGTTTGTTATTCTTAATTCTTTACAGGCAAATTGATTGATTACTTGAGGAACAGATTCAGCAATTCTGTTTTTTTGTATTGCAAGATGTTGCAGGAAATTTGTATTGACACCTGTATTTGTTTCACGTTGAAGATACAGGTATATTCCAGGAGATATAAGATATGACCACTTGGTGTACGTCTCCCTGCCGATGTCGTTCTTTTTGCTAGCTTCTGGCTAGTGTTTAAACACACTACACATATTCTGTATGCAATTTGTTTCAAATTTTTAATGAAAATAGATAGTTATCTAAAATTATCTATTAACGTTCTAAAATATCTACTACAGGTTGATTAAAAGAAAAATCCAATACAAACAACCTGCATGACATTGCATGGTATGGTAGGTCTAAGTTTATCTAAGAGACGTTGCCTACAAAGATTTCAGAACCAGGCTGTAAAGGTAGGAGAATAATCCATAACTCGCAGCGTCATTGTGCTAAATTTCATATGGATGTGGTTTGTGACTACCTAGCCACTTTAAAAAGTGGGCTAATAGCAGCTTAATGTTCACATCATTTCAAGACAAAAGGGGCTGAAATGAACCATAGCATCAGGGTAACCCCCAACTCTTCCAAAAGATGCAATGGGTTCTTGAAAGTGCACACGAGCCAGATGTGTACACTGGACCTCCATTTTAAGTCCTAAAATCCTAGAAGACTTGGTTCTACCAACTGAACCCTGGGTGTGGAGCAACTTGAACCAGCACCGAGGGCTGTACTGTTTTCTCCGAGCTGGAAATTTCATTTGGTTAAATTTTCCTTACTTCTCTGATGGCTGAACTTTTCACATAGTGTAGCCATTACAGTAGACCACAGATACGCAAAATTCTACTAGGCCTACTTACTATTAGACATAGGCTTGGTAAAAATACAAATAGGCCTACAAATTAAGTAAGGTGAAGTTACCCTTCCTCTTAGTCAATATCAATCTAATTACACCATGATTTGACCCTTCTATTTGATTCAGCATCAAGCTGCAGCTCAAAATCTTTTTACTTTTTGTTCTATTTTGTTGGCGAATTTTAGGGTGAACTTGATATTAGTGATTGTTCGTAAAAAGATTGTCAAATGGCATATTTATCATTAAAATTTCCTTTCATGAAATTAGAAGTTAGTGATTGTTTTAATGCTGTATTGTCAGCACAGTGAGTTGCAATTATAAACTTTAACAATAAATATCAATGTGAATTGCTTTCAATTTGAAATTCAAATGAGATATTGATTATCCTTTATACAGATGCATAACTAATTTTGCAGATGCATAACTATTACTGTTGCAGCTTTCTTTGCATCATCACTTTAAATCTGGCTGGCAAAACATTTAAACATAAATGTGTTTTTTTACAGTATTTAAAAGAAAACATCAGGAAAAAATTGTTTTGATCTCAATCTCTGAATTTTTTTCTGACAGTTATGCTGTATGAAGGGCATTCAAAATGATCATTATCACATATTCAGATTTTAATCCAGTCCATGTTACGTGTTGAGGCTTACAAATGGTAAATCATTGCATTGCCAAACATTAAGACTGTGCCCCGAATCTGTACTTGTATAAGAGGATCGTAGACATCAAATGCACCAATATACGCATGCTTTCAGGCAAGTGTAGTGATATGTAAATCTTGTTTAAGTATTAATATGCGACCAACTTCTGGAAGTAGACAGAGGCTTAATTGCTTTTGTAAGCCAGGCACTAACTACGCTCGACTCGCGCGCAACAGATCGTTTTTATTGACAGGCCGTTTAGACTGCCACTGATAATCAGCGAACGACGTTGCTTTGTCTAACGCTCCCAGGAAGGGAAGTTAGACGTTTTTTAAGACCGAAGAATAAGTTATAATTTTAGTTAGCCGCAATGCTCTACTACTACTGAACCTTCCACTGTACAATGTTTTTTTTTTTATTTTGTGGTGAAATAAATAAATGAAAAATGATAATTGGGCAAGCTTAGGCACACAGATCTAGGGGGATTTACAAGGCAAAACTCTATTATTATTTTAGAAATGCTCTTGAATTAACGAGATGGAATTTAAATTTGAGTAAAGCCACATAACTATGCAATGTAAGTTGGATTTATAGAGTGCTTTGTACCAAAGTCTTCAAATCGCTTGAGTTGTGTGCAATAACTTGCTTCTCCCAAAGGGTTTCTTCATGTCTAAGCTACCCGGTAAGCCGGTACTGTACCTTTGTTTTGTTTTTTTTTATTTCTTTATTTGGCATCATAAGCAACATGTAAATTGAACATCAAAATACAAAACAGCATTTATTTAAAAAAAAAAAATGGCAAAAAAACTAAATTTAAAAAAGATAAAGCATGGTCAAAATATAAAGATATAAAAATGTCAGGTATTTCTCATCTTTCCACAACAGAATAATTTGGCAGCTTGCAGTGGCTAAAGGTGACAGTTCAAACTAGACCAACCCCAGATTGATTCATTTCTTTATGACAATGAACGTCAGGCTGAGGAGCTAAGGCCTCACATTGGGGAAAGGTGCCCCTCCCCTCTAAAATTGCTAAATCCCCCTCTAAATTGTTGGAGCTTCCATGAGCTTTTTCCCCTATGCTCTCTCCAAAGGGTTCTTGGCAGCCACATAACACTACAGTTGGGAACATCAGCCCTCATCCCATACAGCATATCCTACACTAGTGCCACCAATGGTCTGCTCAGTTTAACTTTTTGAATCTTTCCCACAATTTTAATATCTGAGTTAGCGATAAGAAAGCACACAGAAAACGGTATATTAATGGAACTTTGCAATGTTGACCCGGTTCTCTATGGTATTGATATTTAAACTTAAGCTAAGACAATACCCTGTAACGTTTGAAAGCTTGAAATGCCATTACAAAGTGTCAAACGATGAAATGATGTGGAACTTGATCAGAAAGCTTTTTGCTAATTATGGAACCACCATTTCTTGACATTACAAATCTAAAACAGATAGGCATAACATTAGATACCTGTTATATAAAGACTTGCATGCAAGATTATAACCTACAAAAATTACTGTATGTCTAAACACAAGCTGTGTTTTTGGATGCATATCAGTTATAGACTTACATAGCTATAAAGTACAGATTGTGTTTCAAGTACTCTGGACTCTTATTGGTCAATAGAGTAACAGTATTCTCCCTTTATCAATTTACTGATCAGCCAGGTTTTCGTCTAATTTCTGTTTACACTTAATGCATCGTTATTTTTTCAATATTTCATTAAAGCTGAAGGGCCTTTTTCCGAGATCACCTTACAATTATATTGAGAGCAATTGAATTATTGCAGGCGTGGATCAAGCGTAGGGTCATGAGGGCCCGTGCCCCCCCCCCCTCCCCCATTGGTCAAGCCGAAAAATAAAAGAGGGAGAAAAATTTGAGTTTATAAAGAGAAGAAAGGGGGAAAACAGAGTGCACCTATGAGTTCAGTGGCGATCCAGCAGTGGGAGAAAGGAGAGCTCAATTGTTTACTACTTTATTTACACCAAATAGCAGAGGTGGGCATGGCGGCATGAACTTCATATTGTGTTTTATATCAAATAAAGAAACAAATGAAATGCTGATATTTACCTCTTTTTTTTTTTAACAAAGATCAAATGGTATATGAATAAATGATTACTGTATGTGAATAAATGATTACTGTATGTGAATAAATGAATGAATGATGGAATTGTAGAGTAAGCGGTAGATTGATGGATGGTTGGACAAATTGATTAAATGATTAATTAAATGAATGCATGAATGAATGATTGTTTATTCCATTTATTTTATATTAGCTTGAAGTATTCCTTTTAATCATTGATATTTTATTATTGCTTTTAAAGGTTATAAAGACTAGAAATTAAATTTCTCTTTATACTGGAAAGCCTGTGTAGTAGATATACTACTTTGGCTCATCTCTTTAAGTTCAGTGAATGTACGTTATTAATTATTTTATTACATATATGTGAGGTCTCACCACGAAATGAGATGCATCGTTGGTGAAATCATATTGAGATATTCACCAAAACAAGCCAAAGTCAACATTTTTACAAAATTTTGATTTTAATGTTTTTGAATAACTTTATACTTATATTTTATGATTGTATACTTTGTAAGTGAATTTTCTTGCCAAAAACAGTGTTCTCTGCACATATTCTGTAATTCTAGTCATATTATTTGTACAGGTTAGTTTATCTTTGAGGCCGATTTTCTCAAAACATGGTTCTTATACACCTAAACTTTAAATGCTCACATCTCTGGATTTACTTATAGTAGGGAAGCCATTCAAAGACCAAATGAAAGCTTATAATGTGATCTACCCAAATATAATATAAACTCAATTTTTGAATTTATAACCATGAGACCCATTTTGTGGTAAGACCTCACATATGTTGAAGCTTGCGATACACCACGTACGTAGTTCTGAAAAGAACTGTTGTAGTTGAGAAAGTCTTGACGTTTCGATTGAGTTGCTTCAATAGACTTCAGGAGAATGTTCTTCATGAGAATTACTTTATTACTTATCATTTTATTTATTCTGTTTGTTTTCAATAGGAGAATGAGCTGGATGCACTAGCCACACAGTTTGTATCTTCATAAGCATCTCGTCATGGACACAGGAGATATTCACACTTTGACCTCCTTAACCTTTAGCACATTTTCTCGTGTGATATGTTGATGTTCTCATCTGCCAGTCCTCTACAAGACACTGATTAAGGTGGTTTCCAATCATCCTACCCTTGAAACATCATTAATGATTGGTTGTGTCATCTCTCTATGAAATTTAAAAAAAAAAAAAAAATGTGTTGTGTAGACACCAGAGGAAAGAGTCTGTAAATGGGAAGATCAATTATATAATAAGGTAAATGAATACATTAAAAATGGTTATTGCATCCTATGTTATAGACACATGAACCAGTAATTAACAATTTGTCCCATTCTGGTAATGCTAGGTGTTACCCTTGTTATCCCCTTTCTGTATTATTATCCCTTCCTACGGAATATTTGAACTCCACTTCCCCCTCCCTTCCACTAAATTTTTGTTGATGGTCTTTCCATATTCTTAATGCCAATCTTGCATTATGTGGTTATATTTATATCTCTGGTTTTGGTTTCCAATTATATTTTACATACATGTGTAGGCATTAGATTGAAAGCAAGTTACTTTTGACCTACAGAATCATGTACAAATGTTTATTACATCATTTTTTCATCCATATAATGATGTCAATTATGATGTAAAATATATCTAAGTGCAAAAATGCTGTCTTCTGGTAGTAAAATGTGTAACTGGGGAATAGGTTAATTATGTAGTTTTGTTAATGGTTTATTAAGCCATGAGTATCATGCTATATACAGTAACATCACTGTAAAGTTATTGTAGGAGTCCAAGCGATGTCAGTGTCTAAACCTAGATATAATGTAGTTGTATGTCTTCTTTTTTATATATACATCTATGATAATATTACACCATATGAGATTTAAAAGACATTTGAAAGCAATTTACTTTTGACCTACAGAATCATGTACAAATGTTTATTACATCATTTTTTCATCCATATAATGATGTCAATTATGATGTAAAATATATATCTAAGTGCAGAAATGCTGTCTTCTGGTAGTAAAATGTGTAACTGGGGAATAGGTTAATTATGTAGATTTGTTAATGGTTTATTAAGCCATGAGTATCATGCTAACAGTAACATCATTGTATAAGATATTGTGCGAGTTCAAGTGATGTCAGTGTCTAAACCTAGATATAATGTACAGTAGTTGTATATCTTCTTTTTTATATACATCTATGATAATACTACACCATATGGGACATGAAATAAATGTCCTTTTATTATTTAATATTAATGTTTTTTTATTATTATTATTTAAATATTATGATTATTATTTTTGATGTTATTATTGTAAGGTGATTGTTACAATATTATTTTTACTTCTATTTTTTGTTTATTACTATTATTATAGTTATTGTTGTTTTAAATAATTAAAAGTTTGCCAGTGGTTTAGCAGCATGCCAATCTTAAAGCATTTTCATGCATTTTACAGGTCATTTATAACCTTTTTGTCTTTACGCTTGGCTTTTGCTGCACCTTAACCACGGGAGCCCACAGGTTCACTTCAATTCAACTATTGTAGGCCTATTGTACATGTTTTCAAATGCTAATGACCAATTTAATATTTATATTTTTCTTTCAGTAAAAATTAGTATATTTTGCATCACACCATTATTTAAACTTAAGGCTTCATATATCATTTAATAATTGTTTATCTTGTTCTCGAAAATCTGTAAACAATTTTGAAATCTTACAAGCTCTTGACTAAAGCAGATTCAGGCTTGAAGGGTGAATGAACATCGGGCAGGTTTTAGTGTTATTGACCTAATTACAATATATAGAATAACTGTGATATAAGTTAATGAAGATAAACTTAAAGAGATATAAAATTGATTTACAGTATTTGTATTTTTGTATCAATTTACATGTTCTTAGATTTGGGATCAAAATTATTATAAATAATATACTGCATGGAATGGAATGAAGGTGTTAGACTGAAGTAGTTGGAGAAAAATGTGTTTTCTCCATTGGGATTAGAATCGTTCGGTTGCTCTACCTACACTCAGCTATGATGAGATCAAATTAGTTCACTGCCTCGGATGTTCCCATAGGTAATGTTATTCTCAAATGTGTTGCGGCAATACACAAAAAAAGAAAAATCATCAATTGTGAAATTATTATCAATTATGTAGGCCTACGCAACAGATTTCAACTTTTTATTGAAATGTTGAATATGAATTTGTATGCCATAATACATAGTGATCATCATTTCTTCCTTCTAAGCATTAACTTTTGAATATTCTTTTTTGGATACCTATATCTATACATAACGCAAATGCTTAGGTTACCCATGTTGTGGGGGTAACAACTCCCTAGGTGTATTCTGTAATGGTTGTACCTGTAGTACACATAATATGATGTTCATCAGACATAGTTACTATTAAACAATACAAAGATTTTTTGTATGATGATTTGATGGATTGCAAACTACATAGGTAATGTTAATGCATGTTTCCCTCCAATTAAATTCCACTTTTAGGACCAGTCTCTAATTAGAATAATAAAGATAGAAGACGTGAATGTGAGACCACAGAAAATTGGCCTTTAACTGGATGTTAACTCTTTAATTGGAGAGGTCTTTTATTAGAGGGAGGCCTGTACTTTATTACATCAATGGTGCTTCAGTAGTTTCACTTATGCGCAACACGGCAGCTATACACAACCAACCTTGATGTGGAGGTGTATCTCAATGTTCAGGACATTGGATTCAAATTTCGACTGTATTTTCTTGTATTGTCCACAGTGCCTTGATTCCTCGACAACAACTTTAATTTGATTTTCATCATTTAAGTTTCATTGAACTACATAAATTACAACATTTATATAGCGCTTTTTTTTTTCTTTTTTTGTATTTTTTGACCAATGTACTGTGCCGATGAAACACATCAAACAGCAGAAAACCGGAAAGTGAGAAAATTAAACAATGCAAATGAAACCACCGCACCCGTTCCCCAACAATTTGAGGTGCAAGGCCCAAAATTTAGATTTCAAAAAATTACGTTATTGTAGCTTTCTTTTCAAATTACTGTTAGGATTTGAGAAAGTATTCAGGTCGGATGAGATTATAAGGTGAGTGAGAACGCTTCCAGTTCGCTGCAGACAAGAAGACTATTTTGAACGAGCAACCAGCATTATTATTATATTCATAAATTTTGCTTCTCAATACTCAATAGTGTTTCATAACACTAGATACTTAACAGTCGGTAGAGTTACTTATGCCCTATATTCAACCAGTTAAGACAACATGTTTTTGACCTACTATCTTAGCCACCAAATGAAACAAACACCAATTAACATTATTTTATTTTCATCGTCTTAATAGCGAGTCCACTTCGTCAATGAAACAATTTTCGGCAACTTCTGCTATTCCGTAACGCGTTTTGTGTGTGTATGTACGTTTCCATTGGAATTTTCCGTTCAGGTTTTCTTGGTGTAAGTAAAGTGTATATAGTTCATCATATGGCACGGGCGTAAATGCGTAATCGATGTTTGAAAATGTCAGTTCTGAAGATTAATTTTGTTTGAACAATTTAATACTGACCATAAAATGTACCTAGGTGATCGTTAGCGAAATGTCTTAAAGATATACTGTCTGCCATAAAATATGGAGGAACAATCTCCAAAAAAAAGTTCAACAAATATTTATTAGCTCATTTAAAAGGATCACATAGGCTATAACCTTCCAATGATAAACAGATCGAAACAAATTCTTTTTATATAAGAACGGTATTATTAATATTATGTCCGTTAATGACAGTTTTTCTAATTATAATTGTCATTGAAAGTTAATAGCTTACCTAAAGTAAGCGATTTAAATATTCAATTTAATTGTTTGTGACGTTTTACAGCTCAGAATGTATATATAACTGTAACAATACTGTAAACATTCAGGAATGTCTTCAGTATGCTTACTGTGATAGTTTACATATATTTTTCTATATTTAATTATTTCAAAAAAATATGGTGTGTGTCACATGTTTTATCGAACATGCTATAATTCCCTTTTCAATCATACATAAAAGATGATTTTTAAATATAAGTTTCCACTTCTCTTCAAGAGTAGGCCTGTCTCTTATACACATCTAGATGTGTATAAGAGACAGTCTATACAGAACACAAATGCTTAGG